CAAATGGTCACGATTCCAAGTATTAAGTTTGCTGTATCTGCTTCTTGAAGTGGCACTTGGAATCATGACCATTTGCTGTATCTACTCTTTGAAGGGTCATGATTCTAAGTACCTCTTCAAGAAGCAGATACCACTTCAAAGAGTAGATACAGTAAATGGTCATGATTCCAAGTACCACGTCAAGAAGCAAAAATACGCAAATTATGAGAAAAACAATACAGAATCTTAAGAATTATGTCCGATTATTGTTTCTTGTTCGAATTAATGTAACCATCATCCATTCTCCACGACAATTCGATAAAGAACTACGCCCCCTCCACTATACTATTACCGTACTGCATTGCCGTAGCACTATCTCATTAAAGCTGCCACGTCTGTCTAGCATGTGGTTTGGAATCATTATACAGATACCTTACCCATAATGCAAATAGTTATGTATAATGGTTTCTACTAACTGACTACTGAAAGCAAGTTATCGCAAGGATTTCTCTGTTATTTTCTTGGATTCGCTCACAATTGTCTCACCGTTTGCTGTAGCGTAGGACAAATCTGAGATTATCTCATATCAGGAAGGTATTTGGCAAGCCTTGAAACCTCATGTCGTCGTGTGCGTGATAAGGAATCTCTACAGCGTATATTTTTCCACCCATTGGTTTACGTTCACAGCCTTCATTGTAACATATGCTTTAAAACTAACCTCACTCGCTATTGTAATTATTCGTTTTAATAGTTTTGCTTGCAGTCTATTGCGGTAAGACATTCTGCCGCTAACATGATAAATATTAACTGATTAATAATATCAGTCATTAGCTACAACGTATTCATATTTAGCTTATGGGAACGATACTCACTTTTCATTCTCAATAATGTAAAGCCCCTCCAGTGGCACAGTGGTATGTCTGCGGACTTACAACGCTAGAATCCGGGTTTCGATACCCGTGGTGGGCAGAGCACAGATAACTTATTGTGTAGCTTTGTGCTTAATTACAAACAACAATAATGTAAATAAGCGCACGTATATTTCTATACTATGCTTCTCTATTGTTTCCAACATAAAATACGATGTTCAAAGCTGCACGAGAAGAAAGCTTTACTTATAACTGCGATAAATGTTTTGTAGGCTGGATGCCAGTGATGGAGAGGATATAGACAGCCTATTGCGTAGAATTGTGGTAACCAACAAATCTTGAACAAAGATGAGATAATAGTTTAAATTACGAAAGTGTAAATATTTTATTATAATAATTGCCATTGTCCTTCTTGTTGAACATAGCAAGGCAGAAATTTTATTCACTTATACAAAATATTAAAAGTTCAACTTGACTTGTATTTCTGTCCATAAAATCTATAATTTTGGAATGTGCTTCTAACTGTGATAAGTCTGAATCTCACCTGGCAGCAGTCTGAATTATACTTGATGATAAATTTTAATTATTTTACAATGAGGTTTTTTCTATTGCTGAAAACTGTAATATAAATCTTTTGAGTCTGTTCATTGTGTTATTGAAAAATGGTGGCGACATATATGTTTATAAATAATAATCATTTGTTAATAATGACAGCCAACACAATAATAATCATTTGTTAATAATGACAGCCAACACAATAATAATCATTTGTTAATAATGACATAAACATATATGTCGCCACCATTTTTCAATAACACAATGAACAGACTCAAAAGATTTATATTACAGTTTTCAGCAATAGAAAAAACCTCATTGTAAAATAATATCTCTTTTCTAACAGTTTTGTAGCCAAACGCAGTTCTGATTACCTAAAGTGACACGGAAAAAATAGGATATGCCTAACCAATTTTATAAAATAGAACGTTGATGTATTTATTCACAGATATTTTTTTCCTTGCTTTGACTTGTCTTTTTCCACATAAAATAGTAAATATCAATGGTTCAACACGCTCTTTAAGAATTCTAAAATTCTGAATAATTTACGTTGGAAACTTAGATCCTCAGCTCTTTTAATAAATCATATCATGATCAAAAGAAACCTTCAAGAAGTCGTTCGATAAGCAAACTGTGAAGTCTTGTAAGAAG